ATTAGGTAACTTACGAAATCTTACTTTGTACTATCGTGATTACACTAAAAATAAACAAATAAAATCAACATTTAATATAGACTTTGCCCAACTTAAGAATACACCTCATAACACGTCGTATCTTTGTATTTAGTCATATTTAAGGAACTTTTTAATAATTTTCAAATAACCTATCGTGAGCACAAGGCGTACTAATCATTTTTAAAGCAGAATTAAGATATTTTTTAAATGTTCATTGGGCGCAATTACATCGTTAGTGGGTAATAACGCCCAATAGTAATAAGTATTAAAAAAAGTCTAGTCAATAGAGTTCGACTACTCTGTCAAAAAAAGTATTAACTGTTTATATAACAATTAAACTAAAATTGCCAGATAATCATAATAAAGTATGTCTTACATAAAATAGTCAGTCTGAAGTTACATTAATCAGTCTTATAGAAACTATACTTTTTTTTAACAATATGGACAAATAAACTCTATATCACATTCGGAGAGGCCTACGCATTCCTCATGGTACCATCTCTTACATACTATGCATTGCGCCATGTCTAACTCCTCTATCTCACCACAAGCATTACAGTACCAGACTTCATCGCTATTCCCGTTCATCTTCTTTTTATTCTTAGTCTTATTTTTAGTGTCTTTCGCTTTGTTTTCTTTTTCACGTCTTTCTTCTAATTTCTTCTCACTTATTTTTTCTTCTCTTTTGTCATTCGTCTTTTGTGTTTTAGAAATGTGTAGCTTTTTCTGCTCTTTCTTAGTTTTCTTCATGCTACTGTAATTTTGTTTATTAGATTTTTTAGTTTCAGTTTTATCATTGAATAAATCCTTAGTGATTCTTTGCCCTTTATAGTTCATCGCTTTCTTACGTGGTTTTGAAGATTTATTTTTTGCATAATTAGGCGTAGGTAGGAATTGTTGAAATTGCGTTTTATTCTCTTGTTGTAAACTGGCTAATGGTACGTTGTCTTCATCTAGGTTGCAAGTTTCATTTTGAATAGGACAGATCATTTGTTTTTTCGGTGTTTTTGTTCCTTTGTTGAGATGACACTGACTTCCATCTCTTGATGATTCGTCTGATGTGTAGTTATAGATATGATCAGCAACATATTTGGATTGATTGAAAAGAGGCCTAGTAACGAATGAATCCAAATCAGAAATCGTTGAATCAGAACCCGGATCGTCACGTAAAGATTTTTGTAATCCTGAACAGCTGGGAACGGCCAGATCATGTTGTCCTAAATGTTTATCGCCATTGTAGTGTGAGGAATCAAATTGAGAAATACCAATTAAGTTGGTATCTGGTATTAAGGAAGGTGAATCACGATCTTCTTCTATCATAACTTGTGATTTAAGGTTCGGCCAAATTGATGCTATGTCAGAATTATCGGATGACGAGCTGTAATCCACAAGACGGGACTTAACTGGGTTAATATTTTCATTAAGTAAGTCAGATTTTCTCTGAATAGTAGATAACTCAGTAACTAAAGCCAAATGGTGATCATGATCTTCATTAATGTCATCACTATCAGTGCTATCATCTAATGAGTTTAAAATGAGATTCTGCAGAGGTTCCTGGGTTCGCGGGCATGGCATTTCCGACAAAACAGATGGGGCAAATGCTTCCTCTGGTATAACTTGGGGATCGAAGGGAAAGAGACCGGTTGCCTTGAACCCATTGACTATATTGCTGTGCGTCATACACTTGGGCCAAACTCTAGTAAATATTTTATTGAATGTAGCTTTTGTGAGTGTTCTGTCGGCGCTTGCACATAAATAGTTTAAGACTTCTTCGTCCCAATGATGTTCAAAAGACTTGTTTACGGACTTATCCAGAGGCTGTAATTCATGGGTTGTATTTGAAGGAAGGCAGTATAGCACTATGTCATTATTATCAGCTTCTTCGAGTGCTTCAACTGATAAGTGACACTTAGCGCCATCAAAAACAAGTAAACATTTTCCCGCAACTTTGTATTTGGCTAGGTGCTGGATAAATTCTACAAACAAATCGGCAGTCATGGACCCTTTCGGCGCCATTCTTACTAAAGTTCCGGCAGGTAAGTTTTCTGAAAGGTCTGGTCTTTGTCTTTGCCCTTTAAAAAGAATCATGGGAGGAATCGCGGTTCCTATGGCATTAACACACATTGCTATGGTCACATTTTCGGCATGTTCGGGTGCAATAAGATGTACTCTTTTACTTCCTTTCTCCGCAAGTACCGTGTGCTGGTTGTGGACTGTAATTCGGCAACCCTTCTCATCCATGTTGTATAGTCTTTCAGGATGTTGAAGAATATCTAATGGTTCGTATATTTCTTTTACATTCTGAAAATGTTCCCTAACTATTGCTTTGTTAAGTTTTTGAGCTCGCGCTGGGTTTAATATTTGTGGCTTTCGTTTAGTGATCGTTGGGTTTCGCTTTAAAAACTGCCTTAGCCAATCAGCACCCGCAATCCTTTTTGTAGAATTGAAATTATTTTTTATGTCAAATCTCTCGCAAAACATAAAGGCTTGTTTTCTGATAAATTTAGGTGTGAGAGGTATTCCGATTTTTGCAAACCTTTTGATTCTACCACACAAATCATTTTCCTGAGCCTCTGTTAAAATAGGTTTTCGTCCCATACGTTTTACGTCTTGGCCGGTTTTCATATGGTCCCTCAATGTTCGTCGCGGAATGTTATACTTGAGAGATATGGCTCGCTGACTTAATTTCCCTTTTTTAACAGCTCTCAAAGCGGCTTTCAAATCGTCTTCTGACCAAGATTCTCCCCTCTTTTTACGAGGCGACATCTTTATATCTAAAAATATAAAAAATAATGTAATGGAAATATTTCCTTTATATGTCAATATATATCTTATTAAAAATATCTTAAAGCATAAACAATGAAGTATAAGAAAACAATATTTGAGGTTATATTGATCGCGTCGATAATTAATTTAATGTTCAGTATATCAATGTATAGGTACTCATTTTTTTAGTAGTTTCTGAAATTAGAAATGCTCTATTTATGGTTATGGTTATAACGCCCGTGTAGTGTAATAGCGCCCAACCGTTATTTTAACGGGCGTTATTACCCAGCTGGGCGTTATTATCGGACGCTGATTCAAATGGCACGTTTATGGAAAAAAACATAGAAATCTACGCCAAACATTCAGGCAATAGTGAACTAAGTTTATCTTGAAGCAATTAAATCTTAAAAATTAACCCAAAACGCAAAAAAAACACATAAAACCACTCACAATTTCGTTCCGGTACTTTTTATAACAGCGTGGTACATGTCCGATCCTGCCGGAACGCGGCGTCACACTGCCGCGGATAATGGCGTGAGCGCGTCGCCGCTTGTTTTGCGGTTTCTTATTGGTTCATTCTAAGTGTGCGTGGAGTAGTAACGGAATATTTTTATATTTAGTATGTTTTCTGCCATCTGGGCGTAAATGCGCAGCGGGCGTTAATCACCCACCCTACCTTAGAATCTTGCTACGTAGATTTTGATTTTGTGTAATTAAATTTAGGGTGGAACTTATAGAACCTCATCAATTTAGATTAAAGATTGCATAATATTATAATAACATCATATGAACAGTTAGAATTTATAAGAATAAAGTTGTCAGGACAAAAAATTTATAAGGGAAAAAAATAATTCTAATAAGAGAATGGAGACACAATTAAACTTTTCCCTACTTAAAGTTGATCGAACCCGCTACACGTTACACAGCAGCCGGTTGCCTAACTACTGCGGGTTGGCGCAGTGCAGTCCATTTGATGTCAAGGAGAGGCTTATAGTCCTACAGATTAAAATAATACCCAGCGACCTTAGTACATTTAAGAATGAAGTGAGATCCTATCATTGCGACTTTAGGGTTTGCTGCTAATATATTCACATACCAATGAGTGCAAAAAGGCAAGGATTTAAGAAATACATAATAGGATATTGATAACTTATAAAAACCATTTTTAAAGCATTTAGGCGCCCTTTAGAATATAGAACCTGGCCCTGGTGATATATATTATATAACCTACAGACAACCTACTTGGAATTTAAAATATTTATACGTGTTGTAAAAAAAAATACTCAACTTTAGTCTGTACTGCGTTCCACCCTGTTTGGTGTGCTAATTATACATAAAACTGTACACAATATAAGTATTTTTATATCTAAAATGTAAATTGTAATATTAAATTGAACCTTATTTTACGTAGGAATAAAGTCACAAATTGTGTAGTCCTTGTAATATAATCTATATATTTATTGTGTTGCATATTGTATTTGATTGATGATTGATAACTTTGTACTGATTGATTGATTGATTCTAATAAAATGCACTTTTGAAGTGTCACCAAATAAAATATTGCATTATTTGTATCCAAAACCTATGCGACACTATGTTATCTCCACCGGTCATTATTCTCAGTCATTTCCTTCTACACAAGTTTGAGCCTTAGCTTTAAAAGACGCGTACTTCCACGATATCTCTAACAGACAGATGCCATACATGGACAATGGCCTACCCGTGCCACAGTTCCCTTGCCCACAGTACGACTACAGTCAGGGCTACCGAACCAAATACAGCCACGGAACAGGAACTCTTTTCGTCCCTTCCAGACACTTTGAGGATATCGTTAATCCAGTTAGCTGGATACCCTTTTTAGAACGATTATATAGATACTTACACTTGATGGCTACATCACAAAATAAGGTAAAATTTTAGTTTACATAGGAATAAAATCCTACTAAGCAAGGGCGGTCACTAGTCCTGCGCCATTTTAACGCGCCCAACCCCGCTCTAGGTCAGGGTATTGTGCTATAGAGCCGATTTCTTAAATTATATGTTTATTCATTTAATATCATTGTATTTTCATGTTAAAAGTATGTATGGATGTTTGTTACTCTTTCACGTAAAAACTGCTGAATGAAATTTTACACAGAAATAAGTCTAGAATAACGGATGGGCTATTTTTTAATCAAGTACTGCGGATGAAACCGCTGACTGAAACTATACGTAATAAAACAAAATATAACAATGATTCAAACCTTTAATACTTATTTCTAACATTTTAATTAATGGCACGCCTCTCTCCCCACTGTTTCTCTCTGTAGAAGTGACATAAACTTGTATGGTATAGCGGCACGCCCTTTAGAGTCGCCGACCTGGCTCCTACAATCCTCACGGCAACATAATCACCAGGCTTTACAGGCCTCATACCCCCATCTTCAGCCAAAACATCCATTTGTTCAAACACAACTCTCAAATATAATTCATTTCTACCTAAAATGTTGCCAGATTTCTTCGCGATCCCTTCTACTAATACTAAATGAGTGTTGCCAATTTCCGCTTCGTTTAGTTGTTGACATTTCCGTCTGTATACTTCTAGCATTCTGTTGTGGCGTTCCTTCTTTATGTGGTCGGGGACGTCGTCTTTGTAACGACGGTAAGCTGTTGTTTTCTGTGACAAAAAGAGATTGAAAACTATAAATAAAAAGACCCTAAATTTTCACGTCAAACAATGATTATTCTGTCAATATTGTAATAGATATTCATAAATACTTTTTCTAGTCTATCTACCACATATTTAGAATGCAATCATCTTAAACGCAACTTCCGGGTTTCAGAAAACATGGGATAAGAAATCATACGATCTTCATAGGATAATATAGTACTTAGATAGTATGCTATCGGCGCATTATATGCGTTGCCTAGGTTTAAGAAATTTTGGGAATTTCTTTTTTTTTAAACCGGTGCCTCTAGGATTTTCTCCTGTGTCGTGGTTGCGTTTACAAACAAACATATTCACATACGCAACACACCCAGACCAGAAACAATAATTTGTTTATCACACAAAGTGTTGTTCCGTGCGGGAATCGAACCCGCGACACGTTGCACAGCAGCCAGTTGCCCAGCCACTGCGCCAACCGTGCGTGCATGATTGGAAAAGGCGGATGGATAGGGGAATTGCCTCACTCACATGGCGATAGATCATGTCAAAATTATAAGTTTTACTTTTTACAAAAATACACCATAACCCTAGAATCCATAAGGAATGTAAATAAAAATCTTGGTTACCTCTCTCATACTATAAGGGAATAGGAACGCGATATTGTAGTCCACCGTCTCCATGAGTGAGAGCGTTTCTTGAAACTCCTCCTCTGTCTCACCGCAGAAACCGCAAATCATGTCCGTTGATAAACCCACTAAAACAAATAAATATGCTTATTTATTTGTAGAAATTTCAACGTTAATAACACTACTTAAAGTTGAAATTAGAAACTTATTGAGAAGGTTAGAATAAAGTCTAATTTGGAACAATGGAAATTCGTACTAAACACCAACAGTATAAAGGTTATTTTTGAAAAATACAAGCACACATCTGGATTTACCTCCAGGAATAGTCCTCTTGACTTCGTCCACAAGTTGTAGGTATGCCTCCCGAGTGTATCCCCTGCGCATGCGCTCCAGTACCGCGCTAGAACCAGACTGCGCAGGTAGGTGGAGTAGCTTGCATATATTGGGGCGCTCTGAGATTATTTGCAAGACCTGGAGATAAAGTTTTATATGTGTATTCGGCCGAAATGAGATTGTCTTTTTTCTATACTAATAAAATTTGTAAGTTTGTATGTTTGTAAGTTTGTATGTTTGTAAGTTTGTATGTAGGGGATAATCTTTGGAACCGCTGGTCGGATTTCCAAAATTCTTTCACTGATAGATAGCTACAATTTTCCTGAGTGCTATAGGCTATAAAACATCACGCTACTATTAAATGGAGCCGAGCAGCGGGCGAGACTAGCTAGTATGTAATAAGAGGGAAATGGAGCAAACGGATCCCCTGATGGTAAGTGATCAGCACCGCCCATGGATATCCGAGTCACACGCGCCTTGTAGGCCTTTTAAGGAGGAGTACCCACGTTTATTTAAGGGTTTAGTGTTGATCGTATCAGTTGGGAAATACCGCCACCGAAAGATCATTCCTAAGTTTTGCTGTGCGAGGTAGAAAGTTTTGGAAAAAATCGCACAGTTGTTGACTGCCAACTATCTATGTGATGGGCATGGGGATGTAAATGTCTTCGCGTGGGACGATGTCGAAAAGATATACTTGATTCGTTTCTTTTTTTCTTTGCTATGAAAACAATGGCTGTATTTTTTTTTTTTTCAATAAAAATATTTAGGTCTATGATGATCCGCCTAAATTACCTCCTCGGGAAAATCTTTAGGATGTGCGGCAGTGAATCGGATCCTCATTTCAGGATCTACTGCCGACACTTTGTCTAATAGGTCAGCGAACCTCAAGCCACCCTTCTTTGTTTTATACACCGTCTTGAAACCTGTAAAATGATTTGGGACATTAGAAAATATTGCGGCAACCGAAGAGACAAAGTGCAGCACAGGTGACCGGCAAGCAATCGGCAATGTCCATGGACACCCGAAAGTGTGGTACAATTGCCATGGATCAAATTTCTAACCGAATAAGGACTGGGGTCTTGGAAATGGGGACATCGATCGATGATCATGCTGAAGCTTCGCTCTGCTCCTTTTAAAAGCCAGTTCTTTAACCATAAACTCAATTTAACTCCAATAAATATTGCCTGAATTAATTTTAACATCGCTAATTTCTATGTTTGTGTGAGTAAACACCCATTTGTTTACATACTTACTATCTACAAAATAAATATTGTTTTATTATTGCATTTCTCACCTTTAGCTAAATGAGTGTCAAATTTCTCAGTTGATTGAGTGACATCCCTGTAGCTGTTGACATTCTGTCCCAACAGAGTCACTTCCTTTACTCCTTGGTCTGCCAATTGTCGTACTTCGTCGACAATGGACGATACAGGACGCGAGCGCTCCCGCCCTCGAGTGAATGGGACGATGCAGTATGTGCACATATTGTCACAGCCTCGCATTATTGAACTGCAGGATAAAAATATTTGAATAAGTTTTTTTTTTATTTTGCTAATGAACTAAGAGTCTGGAGTTATAAGAAGGAAATTATATTGAGGAGTTAGTTGACCAAAGGCATGGGCGAATTCCTTAGGGTTGCAATTTCCTATAGTCTTGTTTAAATGTGATTTGGAAAAAATTTAGTTATTTTTATATTTTACAAATAATTGACCGAATCGGTGACGAACGCAAACAATAGGCACTTTCCATTAACCCTCAACTGCAAGAGCATGATAATTTTCAAGGATTTTGTGATAGGGAATTTAGAAAAACATCGAAAATTTCTCTGCATATTAAAAAAATTGATATGATAACCCTAATCTTCAGGGACGAGGTGAATACAATATGATGAAGTGAATTAATTTAGGCAACTAAATATATTATACACAACTACTGTCCCGCGGTTTAACCCGCTGCTCAGCTCCTACATATTGCAGCGTGATGTTTTATAGCATATAGCCTTCCTCAATAAATAGACAAACAAACACAAAAGAATTGTTCAATTCAAACCAGTATTTTCGGATTTTAGCGCGTTCAAACAAACCAACTGTACTCTAAGGAATGTAGGAGAACAATATAGGATGTGTTATAAATGATTGTCTATTTACAAGTATTGCCATTACAGGTATTTGTCTATGACATATTTATGAATATCTTATTTATTCAGTGGTCATAATCAGAAAGCAGAAATAAAAAAAAAATACTTATTTGTTTGATCTGCAGCCAATCTATAATGAAATGTAGAAATTTCATTGAACCACCAAAAATTTTCTGATATCCACGGTGCAAATGTTGAAAACTAGGTATGGTGTGTAAGAATACCTCTCATGTAAATTTATTTCATGAATAGAATAGAATAGAATAGAATTCATTTATTTGCAGGAAGCATGGTACAGAAAGATCTTAGAGCTAAACAGTGAAACTTCACACTTCGCCATAATACAGATGGCATGCAAAATTTATCATTTTCAGGGTTCATTGTATGTATACTCAATGAAACGTCAATTACATGTGCAGAATAATTATACAATTGATTACCAAATCACCAAAAATACAAATTATAATATGTCAGTACAAAAAATTAATTAATTAACACAGTAGTCAAGGTATAAGAAAGTCAAGTTTACAATTATTACAATTAATAAATGAATGTAATAATGTCTCTGTTTTGTATCAAACGTCAAAATTGTAGTAAAAGATTTCAATGTCACCTTAAGAAGTCATTCAAGTTGTAAAAACTATGTTCTATTAGCCACCTATATACTTAGTCGGGTCATAAGTTCTGTCAAAACCTTATATTTTTAATTTTCGATTACTGGCCAGAAATTCTTCGACTTATTTTAAAAATAGAACTTTCGCGCTTGTAGAAAATAAAAAAGAAATTATTTTTTATTCATTTTTAAATATGGAGTGGTCGAATAAAGAAGACAGAATCGCGGTTATCGCGTTGCACCGCTGTGGTTACGCGCCAAAAGACATTTTCAATATTCTTCAAAATTTGAAAATAACGTTACGGTTTGTTTATCGTACTATCAAACGATACACCGAAGAGTCAAGCTTCGAAGATCGTAAGAGAAGCGGCCGACCTCGCACAGTTCGGACACATAAGGTCATCAAAGCAGTGAAGGCGCGAATCGAACGAAATCCCGTACGTAAACAAAAAATCCTAGCTCTGCAGATGGGGCTAAGCAGAACCACTGTTAAAAGAGTACTAAATGAAGACCTGGGACTACGAGCTTATCGTAAAAAGACAGGACATTTTTTGAACGAGCGTTTAAAAAAAATTAGGCTAGACAGATCCCGCGCTTTGCTACGACGGTACGCGGGAAAAAAATACCGCGAAATTCTTTTTTCGGATGAAAAAATTTTTACTATTGAAGAAAGTTTTAACAAACAAAATGATAAGGTGTATGCCCACAGCAGTGAAGAAGCAAGCGCGCGTATTGCGAGGGTCCAGCGTGGGCATTACCCTTCCTCATTCATGGTTTGGCTTGGAGTCTCATATTCAGGCGTAACTGAGGTGTTTTTCTGTGAAAAAGGTGTGAGAACTAGTGCCGAAGTTTATCAAAATACTGTCCTAACAAACATAGTGGAACCTCTTTCTCAGACAATGTTCAGGAACAGGCATTGGATATTCCAACAGGACTCTGCACCGGCTCATAAGGCACGAAGTACGCAAGACTGGTTGATCGCTCGTGGAATTGACTTCATCCGGCATGAAGACTGGCCCTCTTCTAGTCCAGATTTAAACCCACTGGACTACAAGATATGGCAATATTTGGAGGAAAAAGTCTGTGCTAAACCTCACCCGAATTTGGAGTCTCTCCGAGCATCTCTGGTTAAAGCAGCGGCAGACATAGATATGAATGTGGTGCGTGCAGCGATCGATGACTGGCCGCGTAGATTAAGGGCATGTGTTCAAAATGGGGGAGGGCATTTCGAATAATGTAAATAAAATTATATTGTACATTTAATGACCTTTCATTTCATATATAATTTTTAAATAATTGTCAAAAGGCGTATAAGTTATTACATCAAAAGTTTGTGACAGAACTTATGACCCGACTAAGTAGTTTAGTTTTAAATGTCTTTCTTTCATCCCGCAAAAACAGCGTTGCTACATAAAAGTATTGTGTGCAAAGCTCCAATAATTTATAATAAAATTCCTGAAAATATTAAAGTATTAAACATACAATTATTCAAAAAAGCATTCAAAAAATTTCTTTCTCAGAAATGTTATTATAATGTAGATGAATTTCTCAATGACAAAAATATATAAGAATTATGATTTATTATGTAATAATTATTTGCTTTAAATTAATTTATTATATCCCAACCTAATGTACGTATAATTTTAATTTATATTCATTAAATTGTTATCCTTTATTTAATTATTCTAATCTGTATTAATTTAATGTATTCATTTAAGTGATTAATTTGTTCTTTTTTTTAAATTTTAATGTAATGAAAACAATTTATTATTAACTATAATCATATTTGTACACCAGTTTTTGGTAGAACATGTTGATCCTAATGAATATTTAACATCAATAATATGCATCAATAATGTATTATTATATTCACACATGTTTTGACAAATAAACGTATCTTTATCTTTATCTTTATCTTTATCTTCTTTTAATCAACAATCCACAATATTAATTAATAAAGAGTTCAAGTATTAAGTGATCTTTCAGCTGGGGTTGTTGGTCAATATATACAAAGTACAGGGGCCTCTGCTAGGCCAGAAAAAGTTACGGGAGGACTACTCACCCACAAAAAAATATATAAATGGATCTTACATGAAAGCTGACACACTGTCTTGATTCAGCCTCACAGGCACCACATCAGCATATGTTTCATCCAGGGATAACAACACATTGACTGCTGTCTGCCCATTCTCTGTGAGGGCTAGCAAACGAGGTAGGTCTCGGTAACTGTCTGGTCCAGCAACTGAAACATATTTATTTTACTTTTTTACTAATGATAAGCAAAATAAATTAAATATCTTACTTACATTTGTATTGTATTTTGATACTAACAAATTTGTTAGTGGTTTTAAATTGACTAGGAAATCTTTGTCCATTCCTAGAAAATGTAAAGTTTTACTTGCTAGCCTTCTAGCAAATATTATTAACTTAGCATGTAGTTTAAGTGACGATACTGCATTATTTCGATACTCTAATAATGTAGTGATAGACTGTACATATAATAGTACGATGGAGACTCAACATTTAGTGACAAATGTGGGTAGCACTCCAGATAACTTTTTAAATTAAATTTTGAGACAACGGAAGAAAACCTTTTAAATTCTAATGCTACAAGTTATCAAAAGGTATCTTCTCGCAATAAATTATATTATAAAAACAAACGAGGAAATTTTACACTCCTCAGTCAAAATATTCAGGGCATTTCATCCAAGTTACCAGAATTGGAATTATTTTTAGAAAAATTTAAATTTGACATAGTTTGTATAACAGAGCATTGGATGAAGAAGTATCAGGTAGAATTTATGAGTTTTAAAAATTATTGTGTTGGTAGTTTCTTTAGCCGTCAAGCAATGATTCATGGTGGTAGTTTAATACTATTAAAAAACTCAATTAAATATAAAGAAAGACAAGATATTACTTCACTTTCCATTGAGCATACAATTGAATTGTCCTGTGTGGAGCTGGATAGGCATGTTGTAATATGCGTTTATAGACCTCCTAACTTACAGAACTTAAACATTTTTAACTCAGTCATGGAACAAGTTTTGCAGAAAGTGTGTTCAAACAGTAAATTCACAATAGTATGTGGCGATTTTAATATTGATCTCTTAGAAAACAATTCTAATTGTGTTAATTTAGTAAGTCTTTTTAAATCTTTTGATTTGTCTAATGTTTTCCTTGAGCCCACCCGAGTAACATCCACCTCGGCTACATGCATAGATAATATATTTTGTAACTGTAATTATTTACATAAGGATATAATAAATACCTTACCATCAGACCACAGTGGGTTAACAATGAACCTTAACAACATCACAAAGGTGCCAAAAAAGGAAATAATGTTTAGGCAAATCACAAATAAAAGGGTTGAGTTATTAAATAACAATTTGAAACATAAATTATGCAGCCCATCACATGATTATGAAGGTCCAAGTGAGATTTATGACAATCTACTGTCCGTGATTAAAACCCAGTTTGATAAAATATTCCCCTTAAAAACAAAAACTATTGAGTGTAAATTTGTATTCTGTGACTGGGCTACCCCAGGTATTCGTAGAAGTAGGGAAAGGTTATTTGAGCTATATGGTATGAAACCATTTGATACTAGTGAAGCCTTCAGCAAGCATGTGTCCAAATATGCAAAAATATTTAAAACAGTCTGTAAGCAAGCTAAATCACTTTATATTGGCAATAAGATTAAAAATGCTGAAAATAAAACAAAAGCTACGTGGAAGGTAATTAATAACGAGACAGGCAGAAATAAATTGCATAACACGGAATTTAATTTAAATACGGATAATGGACGAGTTAATGCTAATCAAGAAGTTGCCCAAGAATTCGAATTTTTTTTCAAGAATATCCCCATTAAAACTGCGAAAGACTTAGAATCATCTCCGGCACTTTCTATTAGTCTTCTTAAAAGAAATGTTAAAGAATGCCGTTCTGGCTTCCGATTTCAGTACACGGACCCGCAATCAGTAATAAAGGCGTTTAAAGACATAAAAGTTAAGTCTACAAAGGATCTATGGGGAATGTCTGTTGTGGTGTGTAGGTCTTTTATAGAAGCTATAGCGCCTTACTTAGCTGTAATTTTTAATAAAAGTGTAGATCAGGGTGTTTTTCCAAATTTGATGAAACTTAGCAAGGTAGTTCCGTTGTTTAAATCTGGCGATGACAATGATCCCAATAATTATAGGCCGGTATCAATTTTACCAGTGCTTAGTAAAGTGTTTGAAAAGCTAATGCTTTCTCAGATGCTACGACACTTTAACATAAATTCCATCTTTCATGACCAACAATATGGGTTTACCAAGGGTCGATGCACAACTGACGCCGGTGTAGCTCTACTTAAGCATGTTTTTGCCTCATGGGAAAAGTCAAACGACGCTATTGGGATTTTTTGTGACCTGTCTAAAGCTTTTGATTGCGTTGAACACACGACACTGTTGCTGAAGTTGGAACACTATGGCATTCGAGGGGTATCTCTCAATTTATTAAAATCATACCTGCAGGATAGGCAGTTCAAAGTACAAGTAAATAAAGTGAACTCCCAGGGTACTAGCATATCTATGGGCGTACCACAGGGCTCAATATAAGGTCCTTTCCTGTTTTTAGTGTACATAAATGATTTACCTCATTTATTTCAACGTGAACCGGGAATGGTATTATTTGCTGATGACACATCGTTGATTTTTAAAATAAATAGACGGACAGATAATTATGACGACGTAAATAATGCTATAACGAAGGTTCATAATTGGTTTACAATTAATAATTTAGTCCTAAACGACAAAAAGACTAAATGTATACGATTCAGTTTGCCAAATGTTAAAAGTACCGAATGTGATATTATTAAACGGTAATAAATTGGAATTTGTAAAACAAACTACTTTTCTGGGTATAACCATAGATGACAAACTACAATGGGGGCCCCATATCACATCTCTGGCAGGACGGTTGAGCTCTGCAGCATTTGCTGTCTGGAAGATCCGACAGCTAACAGATGTGGACACTGCAAGACTGGTGTACTTCAGCTACTTTCATAGCATTATGTCGTATGGCATCTTGTTGTGGGGACAGGCTGCTGACATTGAGTCTATCTTTGTCTTGCAAAAGCGTGCCATCAGAGCTATTTACAATCTAAAGCGTCGTGAGTCTCTTAGAGAAAAGTTTAGAGAGATCAATATTATGACCGTGCCATGTCAGTTTATTTATGAAAACATTATGTATGTTAGGAAAAACTTAAAAATATTCGATAAGGTGTCAGATAGACATAATTTTCAAACTAGACATAGAGATAGATTATGTCAGCCATTATTTAGATTGGCAAAGGTACATAAGTCGTTCATGGGATTCTGTGTTAAATGTTATAACAAAATCCCAGGCGAAATACAACAATTAAATGAAAGAAATTTTAAATTATGTATAAAGAAAACTTTATGTAGAAAAGCATACTACACACTGAATGATTACATTGTAGATAAAGATGCTTGGAGACATGCTGGTCCTGCTCCACAGGATAGCAAACGTACACCAAAATAAATAACGTTCCAATGGATTTTGCTTGAACGGGACTTCTTCATTTTAGTGAAATTGCAGTATATTGTATAACTATAACTTGATAAATTTGTAAATGTGAGTGCCCTGTAACCTATTATAATGGGTTAGACTAGCAGAATGTCGGTCCTTATAACAGCTTGGAGTTGTCATGCTCACTGAAAGGTCACACTGGCGGTGGCATGGGCACTGGATCGCTTAATTCCCTATAATATGGTTGAGTTGGGCGATGCTGGTGTACGTGTCATGCTCGTGAACGAGCGCCGTCAGTTGGGACTGGTCAGCTCCAGACTGTCTATTGTCCTTAAGGTTACTTTATTTTTATATTTGAATAAATATTAGTGTTACACTGTTCTCACATAATTGAACCAACTGTTTGTAAAAGGAATCTGTATGTGAAACTGATTTAAAAAGAGTAACCATGGAGTTTCTTGCTCGTTCTTCTCCATCGGAATCTACACTTTGGAACGAGCAAATAGCTTCACTAAGAGGACTGACCGACAGACTGACACTATTTTTTATTTTAAATTTTGTTTGACGTTCAAAAGTGCCTGTAAAGGTCTAATTGGAATAAATGATTTTTGACTTTTTTTTTTACTTTTTTTTGACATACATATTTTTGATATATGCCATTGCACATTCTAGAAATCAATCTAATTTATACCAAATCATTACCACACATTTGCTAAATTATGTAAAATATCAAAAAGGTAAGTTTAACTTACCAACATCAACTGCTTTTTCTTTCTCAATTAATTTTTCCTTCAGCCTCTCTGCCATACAGCCCAGAATACCAATTTTAACGGAGCGATCTTTCGCGCGCCTCTTAAGCCCTCTAAGATGGTCCAACCGATGCCAAATCTTTGTTTCCGCACCTTCTCGTATTGCGCATGTCATCACCAGAAATATATCTGCTTCTTCCTCAATTTCTGTCTTTTCAAAGCCTTCTTTTTTTAAAATTGACCAAACTATATCAGTATCGTTAAGATTCATCTGGCAGCCGTATACATCAAAGAAAACTTTTCTCTTTGCCGTAATTTTATTATTTTCGAGCAAGTATGGTATATAAGGACGATCAGTAATGGCTGGTTCAGAACTTTCAATGATAAAATCTTTCAAACCTGGTCCTTGTTTTATTTTGTTTTTAACAATAGTTAGTCGTTGTGTATCAGAATAACATCGGCAAGTGATTGAGGACCCATTACTTATGAGCTTTGATAAGCGGTGCAAACGCCTAATGTATAACATTTTGATATTTATTAAGAAACAAAGAAATCACATTTATTTTAATTTAAAGCAAATAACAAATAACAAACATTTGTATCCAATGAAATAACCTACAAACTATTACAGATCTAGTAGCTATCAAAATTGTCATTGTCAATGACATTTTAATCAGCTGATTTCTCTTATCATACTACTAAATAAAAAAGTATTTGTTTGCACACCTATGTTAGAAACAAAACATAAACTTTTAATTTTAGTCGGTTAGTTTATTTATGCTGTGCAATAATAAAACGTAGTTAAATTTTTTTTAACTAATTGGTTTCTATTAAATATAATTGAAGTTCTTTCAAGAGCAAATCACAGATACCGATTTAGGTTTGTTAGGGTAATATTAAAGCAATTTATTTCATTTAATTACATGGAATTACAAATTAAGTGAGGACCTTTATCATGTAACGAAACGTTTTGTTCAATACCAAAAAGGCCATAAAAAAGAAAGATGGCGATGGCGACTTCTGTCGTAGGTAGTATGTAGTGCAAATCATACATCGTAGTGGTATTTGACTATTTGCAAAAAAACAATAATTGTTGCGTTTCTTCAAAGATTCTGATGACTGAACTATACTAAAAATAAATCAACTATGAGCGGACGATATCGGGATTACGACAAAGGTATTAGAATGGCTCAAAACGAATGTTCTTAAAAATCATTGCTCTCAATTACTTCAAGCAGTAATATCAATATTCTAGTGTTAGTATACTCAAATATGTATTTTTATTTATCTTTGCCAGTGTTTTCGCATTGGCAGGGTCGTCTCGATCCACGCGCGATGATTCTAGGCTGTACAAGGACAGGCGCGATGGCCGGGACAGAGCTGACCGTAGACGTTCGAGGTCGCGCTCCCCGCGGCGGTGGTCCCCAGCGCACAGTAGTACTAGCAATGACGACTTCTCACCCGGCAAATCTTCCAATAGCAAAGAGAAAGAAAGAGATAGGAGGCACTATGAAGGTAAGAAGTAGAAGAATCAGTAACTTGTGTGACCTAAATTGCGCAACAAAAATATAACAAGCTTATTTTGTTTAATGATAACAACTTAGTCATGAAGATGAAATACTTAATACTTAATTATTTTTAGAGAGGAGTCGTAAACATTCAGAAGAATGGGATGAGCCTGAAGATGTGCCGGCACCTCCCCCACCTCCTCGCATTACGAAAATATCAATTGGCTTCAACAAACCAAAAGCTCCTATCAAAATGAACATTGGTGGTCCAGCCAAGCCAGTTGCCAAGCCTACCATTGCAGCAGTATTTAATGCTGACGATGATGATGAACCTGAAGAAATGCCTGCAGAGGCACGTATGAGGATGAGAAACATTGGAAGGTGAGGATAGGGTTCAATTTTTTACTTCACAGAAGATTCATTTTAGTTTTTTGCCAGATCAAAATATATAGTTTTTCGTATTATTAAATTTATTATATAAACAACTTATGCTAAATATGTGTTATGTGGCTGGACACTGGCAGCTATGCAACACGTCACGGGTTCAAGTCCCTTACAGAATAACTCTGTGTGTGATCCTCAAGTATTTGTTCTGTGCCTGAGTGATGTTTTGTTGAATGTGTAATAATGTTCAGATTAAATATACAAAAAATATTCTATTTCAGGGAAACACCTACGTCAGCAGGCCCAAATTCATTTGGCAAAACAAAGCAAGGTTTCTGTGATGCCAAGAAAGTTTTTGAGAAGAATTTGAAGCAAGCACTTGAGATGGCAGATAAGCCGCCTATGCCTAAATTGCCACAGACTATATACAAGCTAGCAGGCCCTTGATGTTGATATATTTGAGGCATTTGACTGCTTACAAGTTACTGCAGACAGCTTCCAGGATGTTGCACAGTTAGCTGACCAAATAGTTTGGCTAATAGCCATATACATTTGATTTGGTAATGTATACAGTTACTTCTAAAGTTACTGGTTGACAGGTGATACAGATACATAATGGGAGATGATATTGTCTCATGTAACTTGTTTGCTCAAGCCCTAAATCAGATTTGCTTAGTTTAGTGACAATTTTTTCAATTGTCTGTCAACTTACCTGAGAGCAGTTTTAGAAATAGTTCTAAAGTAAGGAATTTGACAGGTTTCATATGGTTCATAAGTAGGTTTTTATTAATATTACTATGTAATTGGTTTTTATTATAGATTTGCCTCAATCAAGCTCTGTAAGCCTCAATAAGCCTCTCCTTTAGTTAGTAGCAATTGTCTAAAATAGTTAGTTTGAGAACATTAAGCTGGTTTAAAACTATATTGATCAGCTATGCTGCCGAATTCCTGACCAAAAGAAGCATATAAATATATATAATAAATAGTTATCTGTTATCTCTATTTATTGCTTTCTTATGTTCTGTAATTTTTGAAACCATACTCAGGAATTAAATATTACAACTAACATAGTGATGCAATTATTGGCATGAGACAAGGTTGTTTAAGACCAGTTTTACATGGTGGACATGCTCTCAACAGATTGACCAGCCTTGGGAATTGATTATAAAGCAATATTTAAGCACATAATGTAATTGAAACAGGTGTTTTCAGTGCCATAAGTGTTTGGAAAAGGCACTTTATGAACTGCAGTGAAGGATGTCATACATCCTTTTTCACACAGTATGTCAGTTTTTTGGATATTTTATGATCATGCACAAAACTATTATTAATTCAACTACAGCAAAAATTTATACCTGATTTTAATTTGATTTAAAGGGATTTTATTTTGCTGTGAAAATTTTTTAGCAAACCATCCTACCATCCAACCATTTCAAATTATGTTTGAAATACCAACATACTGAAACTTGCATGAGGTGCTGACTTCACTGATGTGCTATTTAATTGCTTACAAATATATGTATATAATATTTAGTTATCTGCATTCATGGAATGATTCGTGTTTTCTGTTGTCACAAGATGACTATCATCAAAATACATAGTAACAATGAAGGTCTTAATTTTCGGAATACTTCCAGTAATTATAATGTACGAGATTATTACTTATTTCGGTAATGTTATCAATAAGGTATAGGAATTGCTCATCATAAAATTATCAGCTTTTATCTTTATTTCTTAGTGACAGTGTAACTTTTTCAGAAAAATAATATTCATTAACATTTTATGTATTGTACTTATAAACAAATAAATGGAAAATTTTATTGCAACAATGTCTTTCATTCAACAGCAGGTAGAGGTTGACAAAAAATAAAATCAACATTAAAAATATTACAGTATATATTTTAGATAAATTCTTTTATAATGTTAACATGGGTATATTGATTCAAACATGATTCTTAAAAATAAATAAATTCAGCTTTTATTTCTTATCATACTTGTAGAAGCCCTCACCAGCTTTGACACCAAGTTTGCCTTCAGCTACCAGTTTGTCCAGCAATGGGATAGGATTGAATAGAGGCTGGTCAGGGTACTTCTTGTGCCAGCCGTCGAGGATGAACTTGTTGGTGTCGAGACCGACGTAGTCGGCGAGCTCGAGAGGTCCCATGGGGTATCCGGCACCTAGCTTCATGGCGGTGTCAATGTCACGAGCAGACGCGTCGCCTGTAGAAACGAAAAAAATATATATCTTATATTTTCCTCTTGATCTTCCATGTTAACTTCACATATTTTTTACGACAGTTTTTTTTTATTATTGGTATGATAATTCTGCATTTAAATTAGTATATGTATGTGTTGTAATTACCTCTTTCATACAGTCTGATAGCCTCACAGATGTAGGGTACAAGGAGCCTGTTGACCACAAACCCAGGTGTGTCCTTGCATGTAATGCAAGTCTTGCCAACAGCCTTGCCCCATTCCATCATTGTTTTGTAAGTAGCATCAGAAGTCTCTGCTCCTCGCACTACTTCTAGTAGGCGCATCACAGGCACAGGGTTGAAAAAGTGTAGACCGCCAAATCTAAAGATTGTTTCCAAAGCTCCAAATTAACATCATTATATAAGTCATTGTTGAAAATTAATAATGTTGAGTGCTAAACTTCATAAATAACACTTAAAGTCAGTCACATTCGTAATAACTTAGGCAACTTGCCATGTCTGACAAACATGATTACATAGCTAGTTTTATTATACTGACTTGCATAGGTTAGCTTAGTTAGATAACCAACTGATAGTAAATGTATTGTTATGTCATGCTGCAATAACTACACCAGTCGGCAACTTTACCTGTCTTTCCTCTTCACTACAGAGCAGATTTCATTGATTGATAATGAAGAAGTATTGGATGCAAAGATTGTGTGGTTTGGTGCTACCTGTAAATACATTATAAAATGACATTACTGTTTTCTTAAAATGGGAATCTTAAACTTATTTAATAGTTTTTATAAGATTTCTGCTGCTCTTTTATCTTGGAAATAAGTAAAACTAAAGAATTCATAATTTATAGAATTTTTGGAAATAAGTTATTTATTAATTTTGTTGGGTATTGGTAACTTATAAAGAGAAAGTTATATAAAAAGAAGTTTGTGATTTTAAAATAATAGAATTAATACTTTTTGGATATATTTACCGCATCAAGTTGAGAGAACAACTTATGCTTGACACTCATGTTCTCAACGATTGCCTCAACAACAAGATCAGCAGACTTGGAAGCCTCAGAGGGGTCAGTACTGGTCTTGATCCTGGCCATGGCTTCAGATACAAATTTCTCTCCCTCCTGAGGTTTATCCTTGTACACCTTCTTTGCTACCCTGCCGAGGTTGGCCCCAATAGACTTCTGAGATTTTGCCAACACATCAGAGCTGACATCAACCAGGATCACATTCTGGCCTGCTTGTGCAGAGACCTGTGGATATTTTAAGTTTTTATTTTGATATTGTCGTTTAATTAATTTTTTAATAAGTTTTAACTTTTAATCTACAAAATAAGGTAGGTAGGTCAATTAACTATTCAATAAAATCAAATTAAAGTTGTTTTATACTTTCGCATTTATAATATGAGCATAAATCTGCAGAGTTATTCATCAGAAACAGATGAAGAGTTTATTGTTATGTGGGTAAGTTGATTTCAGATTTATTTTACCAACTAATATTGAATTAAAGAACAATAATGTATTATGAAGTACGAAGACAAATAATTAAAAATAAGTATATTTTTATTTTATATTTTGTTTACAACATACCTGGGCGATGCCGGAGCCCATTAGGCCACCTCCAATAACTGTAACATTCTTGATTGCATTTTGCATAGCAGCAGAACTAGAAAAGTTCCTCGCTATAACGCCGAATTGGATTAATTTCGTCATTTTTAGCAACTAATAATTAAAATTTTATAAGAATTATATCACAGTTTGTGTTCAGTAAACTTCTACAAAAGTTGTAAAATTGAAACTCCAAAGTTCAATCGGACGGAATGACAGGTAGTCAGATAAAAATATTGCCGCGTATCTGTACTAAGGAATAATCTCACTTTGTTCTCGAATCACACACTCATGGTGATTACCTACGTCAGATAATTATATGTCTGGTCACTCGCAATTTTTTGTTTTATCTAAGAAATATGACAGAAATATATGAATCAATCAAGAGTTAGCAGCAGTATTAGTACTTCAGAAAGTATATAATTATTCGTAACCCGCTTAAAAATAAAATTGTGAAACTAGAAGAATGAAGAAACCATGGTACTACTGCTAGTTCAAAAACTATTTCAATATGAATAGTTATCAAACAGATATATAATAAATTATGCAAGTAAAGTTCTTATTAAACTGATTTTGTAAGTCAGAAAAGAGTAAGCAGACTTTTTGGTTAGAAAATTAAAGATTCTCATGAAAATTTCATTTTTTCAAGACGCTCATGATTTTTTTTTAAATAGTTTATTTCAGAACTGTACTGCAATATGTCAGAAATCAACATGTGGCTTTTCTAAGCGTTTCATTACACGCATAAATGTGCATGATCTTACATTTTATATATTATATATATTTTTTCGTGAATGCGTTTATTTCAAGGAACGTGATGTGTTTATTTAAAGAAAATTTCGCATTATAACTTCAGCGATATTATTGACTCGAATGCTGATAATTAAAAGACAGTGATTTGAATACTCTAGATTCATTTTTTTGAAACTGAAAAGGAACGTACATCATAAATAAACACAAGGTTTTCTCTAAATTCAACTTTATTCATCAATATTTTTATTTTATCTTACAGTTTATCAAAAATGTATAGTGTTATCATAAGCTACAGATCCCTTTATGGCAGGTAAGTGAGATTCTAAGACCACCAATGCGATGTGTTGATAAGGCTGTTTTTAAACATTATATCAGTATTTGCACTTTGTCCGATCATGTACAAATAATAAGTGATAATAACTTTGACAAACGAGTTTCATTTTACGCATCGTTTCCTACAAAATAGACTTTTAGGTTCAGCTGTATAAAATTGGGTACAAAGTTCTAAAACTGGACTTGTGAGTTGTTTATTTCAATACGTCATTACGTGACCGGCTTTCGCTTGAGCAACACACACAAAACACTAAATATGAATAAATTAATCGGAATAACGAGGAGTTTCTCATCCTCCGCGTCTTTAAATGCTGTTAAAACGGTGACTGTTGTCGGCGGCGGTCTTATGGGATCTGGAATCGCATAGGTAAGTTATTTTTTCATAACTTAAGGCCAGCTTTCTCTTTTATACGTAATGGGGTTAATTACTACCTGATAACTGTTATAAAGTTAACCCAACATGTATAGTTTACAAGTATCTTGTGGTAACCTTTGCTTGTTAAAGTTGTATAAAAATTTAAACATCTTCACTTTTCTATAAAAAATATGGGTACCCATGCATAACACCATATAAAAGTTGAATGAACTGGTTCACAAATTATCATTAAAATGAAAGAGTCTAGCTGTACAGTTTAGTTCAGTTAACTTAGATTCTTTGTCTAAAATATAAACTACTCACCAACCACTAGTCTCATCAGTAAGAACTAAGTCTATATTAGAAATAATTTAAATGTATAATTCAAAACTTGTACATACTCTAATGCAAATATGTCATAAACATTGTTACTACACAGTCTACTACTAGTTATTAGATGTACAGATATTTAAAGAGAGATTAATTCAGTACCTACAGAATAATTGGTTGGTAAATAAACAATGACTGAGCTCTGCTTTGTATGTATTTAAATATATTCTCAAAATTATTCCTGGGTAAATCAATTTATGTAACCCGGATTGGGTTACAATGGGAGCCATTTCTGAAATTCTGATTATATTATAAATAGCTTTTGCCTGCGACACCGTTCGCATGGAATAGTGACTTCCTGCAAATTTTTGGTGTCCTTTCTCGAGTTCCAAACTATGTCTGTACCAAATTCAGAAATTGGTTCTGTAGTTTAGACATGAAAAAAAGACAGACAGAGTTACTTTCGCATTTATAATATAAGTTTGGATTATAATAATTGTTGTATATGTTTATAATATATATAAATAAAAAAAATGCTTGTTCATCAAACCACAAGTGAACTCACGGCATTCACACATCTATTGTTCTTCTATTGTGTCTCAGATTGCCACAACTTAAATGTGAATAAGATGTTCTTGTGTAACAATAGCTCTAGTCTCTGTATTGTGTCAATCGTTATTTTCTTAGATGCATACTAAATAATGTGCAGACTAAAATACTATTTGGTTTCAGGAACCTATATATCTATACTATCATTTCCAACCTTTGGACTTAGCAAGTTAATTTATTCTATTTGCATTTGAATGCAGGTTTACATATTTAATATGAAAACATAATCACTATGCTAAACATATGAAGTTAATATTTTTTAATAACATTAATAATGATTGCTCATTTATAATATTTTAAGTCAGAAACGCCTAAGATTGTTACTAGTTAAAAATATGTAGCTAATTTATCCTAATAAATTCTTTCTTTAAAATATTAAAACTGGTAAATATGAAGGGAAAATTCTATGTAGTAAAACTTTATCATTAATCCTAAAAGATAACACGTTATTGATATCAGATATAAAATGTATCTTTTATGACATGTTCTTACATAATAAAATAAATAAAAACTTTATAAAATGATAACTGGCACATTAACATTGAAATGGCAGTACATCCTAACTGTTATTTTAAATTTGTAACCTATTTTTTTCTTAGTAGTGTCCATTGTTTGGTTATTCACATGATTTAACAACATTCCTTAAGTATGGTTTTAATTGTAAAGGCAATTTGAATCTGTTATAAAACATCCCAAAAATACCAAATATATTTATGCAATGCATTCAAAAATAACACAAATCAAATAAAACGAAATAAAATACACTATTTATTGATAAAAATACCTAATGAAAATTAGATACTCTGCATCCAGGACATTTACATACACCTATCCTTCCCTTTCCCCAATCCCAAAAAATCCAAATCACTAATCCCTAAAACGTCGGCAACGCACTCGTAACTCCTCCCTTGTTGCTAGTGTCCATGGGCGGCGTTGATTGCTTACCATCAGGTAATCCGTCGGCTGGTTTGTCGTCCTATTAAAACAACAATATATATTCTCTGAAGAAGTCGCTTTACACTGCTATACATATAAAGTAATCTAAATAAATAAAGAATATTATAACAATTTTGCATATTATTCAGGTTGCAGCTCAAGCCGGTCAGAATGTGACAATCATAGACATCAACTCGGAACTGCTTGAAAAGGCCCAGAAATCCATTCAAACTAATCTTACTAGAGTCGGTAAGAAGTTGTACAAGGGTGATGAAGCCAAGATTGCCAGCTTCGTGAAGGAGTCGGCTGAGAGAATTCGAGTGTCTACCAAGCTAGAAGATGGGGCCGATGTGGACCTGATCGTGGAAGCTATTGTGGAGAAACTTGACGTAAAGCAGGAGCTGTTCAATAAACTTGATGTGGTAAGTCTTCATACTCGATATTCATAACGATCAACAATATAATTCCCTTTTAGAACCTTAGAATGACACAGAAATCAATGTCTGATGATGACGGCACGGTTGGCGCGGTGGTTGGGCAACTGGCTGCCGCGCAACGTGTCGCGGGTTCGATTACCGCACGGAACAAAACTTTGTGTGATCCACAGATCGTTGTTCCGGGTCTTGGTGCAATGTGCATGTAAAATTGTAAACGTCTTAAATGGTGACCAAATGTTAAGTAATATCAGTATTACACAATTTAAACTTATGTTATATTCGTATTACAAGTCATTGATGCTATTCAGAATTCTAATTCTGAATAAGTCTGCAAAATTAAAACATTTATCTATGAATAATGGAATAAAAAGATGTAAGAATACCTACAATTAATTTACTATGTTTAGATGATTAAGTACTGTATTTACACATCAAATAGTCGATGATGTTGTAAGTATTATTTAATTGTTACCAAAAAAAAAATTAAGAAAAAATCAAGGTAATGAAATGATAGGCATAAGATTACATAGAAACATAAAGGAAGGAGAAACAAACAATTTAAAGGAATTATTGACTTAAGTCTTGTTTATGTTTTATGGTTCCAGCTGTCGCCACCGCGCACGATCTTCGCTACCAACACTTCCTGCATCTCCGTGAACGCCATCGGAGCTGGAATTCAAAGGAAAGATCGGTGAGTTAGCATCCCCCTCCCTTATCCCCAAAAGGCTGCTAACGCACTCGTAACTCCTTTAGTGTTGCGACTATCCATGGGCGGCACTGGTTGCCTACCGGCTGCAAAAATAATGCAATGCGAGTGCTCGTTTGCCATAAAAAAAGTTGCACATGTGTTCATTTAAAGTGCGGTCAACCACGCCAAAAAAAATAACAATATTTTTTCTGACAAAGAAATATAGTTTTCTTTATGTGTGTTTTCTCTTGAAGTAATATATTTTGATTTATTTCGTGACGGGATCCATAACAGTTATGTCCCTGGGACGCGCCGGACTCGGTGTTCCGGTTACTGTTGTGCATACTGGCTAATAGAGGAAGTGGTTTTGGAAAGTTGTTACGGGCTGGTCCCAGAAAGCCACTAATAAACACAAAATTATGAATGGACTGTTTAAGCTCCATGCCCGGAGACCCCTCTCAAAGACCTAGCTCCATCAACACATCAGATGGGGTAGACTAACAGAACAATAAAAATTTTCTCTATAAAACTTGTCCTGAATAATTTCTGCCCATAAACCATATCAAAAACTTGAGCGTGGAATCCAATACAGAAATACGCTTGTACGATATGACTATATACAGAAAGCACAGTTAATAGAAATCTATATTCCTAGACAGCACGTTTAGCCGAAAACTTTGTTGGTAGAAAACATTGTGACGCCCTGATGCGCTCAATTTCACATTCTGTGTATTGTCTCTTATTCCAGTTACGGGGGTCTTCACTTCTTCAACCCAGTTCCTGTGATGAAACTGTTAGAAGTTATAAAATGCGATAGCACATCCGAGGAAACCTACCAGACTATGATGGAATGGGGCAAGTCGGTCGGCAAGACTTGCATCACCTGCAAGGACACGCCCGGGTTCGTGGTCAACAGGCTCCTTGGACCGTATTCCGCTGAAGCTATCAGAATGCTTGAAAGAGGTCAGTTAACTACTTTTTTTTAAATTGGCAACACTTTCTTGGTTGGTTTATAATTTATGGTTTTGGTGGGTTTATTGTGTCAACACTTAAATAAAAGAAGTAGGTTCTGTTGGTTTATCAATTGTGTCTAGACAGTTTGAAGTGGTGAGATGCTTTGTATCATAGTAAAATTAATTTTTTGAAAGAAAATTATTATAATTTATATATTTTGCTGGTGTTCGGTGTAATTTGCATGGTGTAATTGCTTTGGTGGAATTTAAATATTATATGTAAGTATGTGTATACACATTGTATTATATGTTACATATTATATACTTCTTGATCTTTATGGCTTAACATTGGTACTCTCAAATATTAACAAATGTGGTTTATTTTATACTTCGTGTACCTCTTTTGGCTATGATTTATTTTTTAACATGTTACTTAACTTATACTCAGGTGATGCCACCAAGGAGGATATAGACATTGGCATGAAGCTTGGAGCCGGTCTTCCAATGGGCCCATTCGAGTTGGCCGACTACACAGGTTTGGACACAAACAGATTGGCCCAACAAGCTCTATACTCTATGACCAAGAACGAAGTTTTCGCGCCAATCGAACTTCTAGAGAAAATGGTGGCTGAAGGGAAATACGGAATTAAATCCGGCGAGGGTTTCTACAAGTATAATAAGAAGTAATCGTTAAGTTGTGATTACAGCAGATGTTATTTACTTATTGTTATAAAAATATATGATTGTATATTTGTAACTGTTATTTTATTGTAAGAAGTCCTTGCGTTTCTTTGGCAATATAACTAGAAATTACTTATAGGTTATGAGTCTGTGTCATATATTATTGATGTGAAAATATAATTCGGAAACCTGGACTTATTACAAATTATACATTTATAGATAGGTAACGATTAACTAATTAACACGTGGATTATAAACTAAGAAAAGCTCTACTTTACCAGTTTCAAGTCACAACGGGACTCTATTACTACTTACTATTCATGAGAACCGTGCGCGCCGCGTCGACGTTCGCGAAGACGGATACCGAGAGAGATATTTTATTCCTGTTATCAGCAAGACATTTTGTAATATACATGTGTAGGTATAAAACAAAAAATGTCACATAACTAACACTGCATTGTAATATTTGTTTATTATTGTGAATTAATTATTAATTAATCCCTTCGTCGTATTACGTCAACAGCGACATCTAATCTTATACAATCGAAATCGTTTTATATACTATGCATTATACTTTTTCTGAAATGACAAAAGTGAGTGTTCACGCATCTAACGTGTGATGCTCAGCGGCGGGAGACGCGGCGGGCGGGGGGCGCACTCAAATGTCAGGTGCACCGCCGCCGCCTCACCCCGCGCGGCTCGCCTACAGATTCGGTCAGCGACGGACGTGTCGTGCGCTCACACATAATATAATTTTGTAAAAATCGATCTGTATTAAAGTTATAATTTACCCAAAGCGAGTCGACCATCATTTAAATCCTAAACATTTGGCGACCGTGTAACAATCGCGGCTCAAAGCTGTAATCTTCGGAAAACCATCGAAGAACAACGGAAAGCCGTTAGTGGAATTTGAATTCACGGAACAAAGAGATTGGATTGGATTGCTGCTTATGCTGCCTACTGCCCTAGTGGAATAAAAACTGTACTGAGGACTGCTGGAGGACGTCTGGCGGAATACCCAAGGGAAGTTGGCCTTTATCCTATCTACTATTTCTCAATTTTTCCTTTTCGATTTGCGTATGGCTTGCCGCTCCGATAGTGTTACGGGATAGTATTTCAAGTGCACTATTACTATTCTTCTTTGTTATATACGCTTCGGCTATTGCGAAAGCTTGCCTATAGGTACATACCTATCGCATTATCATTTTAATTCCCATTTGTCTTGATAAAACATTAAAAACAGTCATAAACTGCTTTAGATTGTGGTTTTAGCTTAAAATGGTATAACCAGTTACGTTATTTGCTTTCTAGCTCAATATTTAAAATCTAAACGTGGCTATTTATATAGTTTTCTCCGCCCCTAATTATAAAAGGCTATTAAAAAAGGCTACCCACTACTACTCATTTTTTATGTCCCGCATACCCTTGTAAAAAAAAATATTCGTATACTTAAATATTAACGTTACATATTTATGTAAATTCCAGATTATCTCTTGCGTAGTGCTTGGCTTGTGGTTGGCGAATCCATCAAGCATCCGAGTAATAACTACATCGGGAGGCGGCTGGATCACACGGTGACGGAACCGTTATAACTGGTTTGATCATTTCATTACCTTGCCTAGTTCATTGTTCAATTTCTTTATTTTATTTATTGGTCATGGAGGGAAAAGAATCTTTAAAGGAGCTTGTCAAGAAACGTAGCATAATCAAAGGTAGACTAACAAAATTCAAAGATTATGTCAATGTTTTGAGTCAGGTAGGTGCGAAAAAGTTAACTAGCATACAAGTTACAGAAATATCTTTGCGGGTTGATAAATTTCAAGAATTGCTGTCGGATTTTAATGTCATTCAATCAGATATTGAATTGCTCTCTTCAAATGACGAAGAACAGTTAACTGAGCGGGATTCTATTGAATCACAATTCTTTTCTCTTCTTTCCATGGCTAAAGAGTTGATTGAATGTGCGAATTTGAAGAAGAGATCATTACATGACGAAAGTATGTCCAGTCAATGTTCACATTCCATCAATTCTATAAAGTTACCTACTATAAATTTGCCAAAGTTTGACGGGAACTATTTGAAGTGGCTAGAGTTCAGAGACACTTTTGATTCCCTTGTTAATAAAAATGATTCTATTCCATTAATCAATAAATATCACTATCTTAGATCAAGTTTAGAAAATAGTGCCGCTGTCGTAATAAGATCAATTGAGTTTACCGCTGACAATTATGAAAAAGCATGGCAAATTTTATGCAACCGTTACAATAGTAAAAATATCTTAATAAATAACCACATTAAGTCGTTACTAAGTGTTGAACCAATTGTGAAGGAATCATTCAAAGCGTTGCGATATTTAATTGATCATTTATCTAAAAACTTGAGTTCTTTACACACTCTCGGGCTTCCCACTGATCAATGGGATGTCTTGTTGATATTTATAGTTTCAGCAAAGTTGGACTCCAACACTAGTATGAAATGGGAAGAATATAAAAATAGTCTATCAGATTTACCAACGTTAGATCAGTTTTATTCATTCTTACGTAACCGAGCAGACATATTGGAAACAACCCATTATAACAGATCCGATAAACAGGAACATAATAATATTATGCACTCTCAAAATAAAAGACAGGTGAAATCTTTTTTGGCTGCATCGAATTCAACGGGAAAATATCAATGTGTTGTTTGTAGTCAGAATCATTTTGTTTATGAATGTCCGAAGTTCAAACAAATGAACTATGATGAAAGAATGTGCGAAGTAAAAAGGTTAAAATTGTGCACTAAATGCTTACGTAGTGGGCATAATAGTTATCAGTGTCGTTTAAAAGGTTCTTGCAAAATATGTAAAGATAAACACAATACTTTGATTCATAAAGATAACTTGAATACTTCGTCAGAACAAAATGCAAATAGTCAACAAAAGGAACCGGTTACGTTATCAGCTACGACGATGACTCATACGTTATTGTGTACGGCGCAGGTAGAAATTATTAATGAATTGAACAATATAAAGGTTAAGGCGCGAGCATTATTGGACACTGGTAGTCAATCGTCATTTTTAACCGAAGCTATGAGAGAGAAATTAGGGTTCAATAAGAACTTCAGTGAAACCAGAAAGGTTTGCGGTCTTAATAACATTAAAACTAACATTTTAGGACAGTGTGTCGTAATGATTAAATCTTGTTCATCTACGTTTAGTGCTCCAGTATCTTGCTTATTAGTGCCCACGATAACAGGTATTTTACCCAGCGTTGAAATAGACGTTTGTGAGTTAGATATTCCGTGTGGTATACAATTAGCGGATCCATGGTTCTTCCAGCCTTCTGCTATAGATATGCTTTTAGGAGCTGACATTTTTTGGAATATTATTGGTACAAATCAAATTAAGTTAGGGTTTAATAAACCTACTTTACAGGAATCACAATTAGGGTGGTTAATAGCCGGCCCACTCGGTAACAGTCAATCTAAGTCTGAGGTCTATTGTTATTTCAATCAGTTTCCGAATCTTGATAATTCTCTGAAGAAATTTTGGGAGATTGAAGAACTACCTACAGAAACAAAAACATACTCATTAGAGGAACAATTTTGTGAAATTGACTTTACAGAAAACACCACTCGCTTATCCAACGGTCGGTTTTGTGTACGTATGCCCTTAAAGGAACCTGAAACTAGTCTTGGTGATTCGTATTACATGGCAAAAAAACGTTTCTTAAATTTAGAATTAAAATTAAATAAAAACCCGAAACTTAAGGAGTTATACTCTAAATTTATAAATGAATATAAGGAATTAGGCCACTTAAGTGAAGTAGATCGCCCAAGATTTGGGAACTACCTTCCACATCATTGTGTACTTCGCGAAAACAGTGAAACGACTAAATTGAGAGTAGTGTTTGATGCCTCAGCCAAAACCTCATCTGGGAAGTCATTAAATGACATACAGGCTGTAGGTCCAGTAGTGCAGTCTGATTTATTCTCAATTTTGTTACGATTTCGCGGGCATAGGTTTGTTCTCTTAGGAGATATTGAGAAAATGTACCGACAAACGGCCTTGCATGAATCTCAACGTCATCTTCAATTAATTTTGTGGAGGGATTCATCTGTTAGTACGGAACCAAATAATAACGAAAACTTGAAGATTCTACAATTAAATACAGTAACGTATGGCTTGGCCAGTGCTCCGTTTTTGAGCACCAGGTGTTTGCTGCAGTTAGCTAAGGAATGTAATGATGACGTTATCGCGAACATAATAAAAAATGATTTTTACATTGATGACTTAAATACTGGTGCGAATAGTGAAAGTGAATTACAGCAAATATATGTAAATGTTAA